TGTGTGTGTGCGTGTGAGAGTGTGTGTGTGTATGTGTGTGTGCGTGTGAGAGTGTGTGTGTGTATGTGTGTGTGCGTGTGAGAGTGTGTGTGTGTATGTGTGTGTGCGTGTGAGAGTGTGTGTGTGTATGTGTGTGTGCGTGTGAGAGTGTGTGTGTGTGTGCATGTTTGTGTGAGTGTGTGCGTGTGAGTATGTGTGTGTGCGTGTGAGAGTGTGTGTGTGTGTGCATGTTTGTGTGAGTGTGTGCGTGTGAGTGTGTGTGTGTGCCTGTGAGAGTGTGTGTGTGTGTGCATGTTTGTGTGCGTGTGAGCGTGTATGTGCGTGTGAGTGTGTGTGAGAGTGTGTGTGTTCCTGTCATCAATTTTATTTGTTATACAGTATATGGAAATCAAGTCAAGTTCCAAAATGACTATAAACAGATAAAAAAAAAAAAATAACAAAATAAAAAATAACATAAAAAGAACACATTCTACTTGATTAAATGGTTTCAGAATGTGTGCCATTTAATCAGAATATGGAGCAATTTTATGCTACTTGCATGTTAATTTTATGATTCTTTTGCATAATTTTTTGATGAGGAGGGTGAGTAAATGATGACAGAATGATCATTTTTGAGAGATCAGGTTTCAGACACTTGTGTTTAGTCCTCACCCAGTTTGTGTCTCTTCCTCTTGTCTTTCTTCTTGATGTTTTTGGCGGCTCTCTGCAGGCTGCTTCTAGCCGTTCGGTTCTTCAAGCTCAGTTTGCTCGTCTTCGTTTTCTTCACGCCGACCTTGCTCTCTTTCTTCTTCTTCCTCTTCTTCTTCTGGACTCGTGTCGGTCTGGATTCGTCCCGTCGCAAGCGTGTGCTTCCGGTCCAGAAACGCGGAGATTCCTGCGACGCTCCGGAACAATCCGGACAGGGGCTTCGTTCCTCGGCGCTCAAGTGATTTGCATCGTTTCTAGGACTTCTGTGACTGTTCAGAGCCGGCGAGATGCCTTTATAGCAGCTGTCTCCGACTCTGAAACACGGCTCGCAGTCAGACTCCTCGTCTTCGAGCCGCCTGTCCTCCGTCAACTGTCCTCGGACGCTCACAGAGTCCAGAGAATCTTCTCTGCACCACGAGGGAACACCGGAGGAGCATTTCTGATCCAGATCCTCTTCCTCAGCGAGTGAATCTTCCTTCACGTCCCATGTGTTCCTGCTGGAGCTTTCCTCCTCCACCTTTACTTCATCTGCAGACACACAGATCCTTCTCAAATTCAGCTGCAAACTCCATGAGATTTACTGGCATGAGTAGCATAGTGTAGACAAAGCATTAAGCAATAAACATGCATATATAAATGTGTAGATAAAACCTATAATAAAGTTAAAAAATAATTATAAATAAAACAATAGTAGTGTAAATAAAATAAATAATTAAAAAATAATTAATGAAGAATAAATCAACAATAAAGTGTAAAAAATTAAATATAAATCAAATTAAATCTAAATGAAATAATTAAAAATAAAATAAGTGAAATATAAATAAAATTAATAATTAAAAAATATCATAAATTATATAAATACATTAATAATGTTAAATAATATAAATTGTTAAAGTAAAATAAAAAATATAAATAAGATGATTAAAGTTAATAATAATAATAGTGTAAATTAAATCATTAAAAATAAATACATGATATAAACAAAAAATAGTAAATAATACAAATAAATACAAATAAAATTGATTATAATCAATAATAATAGTGTACATTAAAATAAAAAAATTAATTAAGTATAAATAAAATAATTAAAGTGTGAAGAATAAATTAAATTAAAAAATAAATAATAAATCAAGTATAAAAAGTGAAGAGTAAATCAAAATTTTTTTAAAACTGTAAATACAAATTAAAAATTAAATAAATAGCAAATGACGTATAAAAAATATAATAATAAAATAAAAATTTAAGTGTAAACTAAATAAATAGTTAAATTCAAATCTAAATAAAAAATAATAATAAAGTGTAATTAAAATAATAAAAAATAACATAATAAATAAAAGGTAAATAAAATAAATAATATAAAATAAAATTAATGATAAGTATAAATACAATTCTTAAAAATAAAATCAACAATAAAATGAAATGTAAATAAAAATAAAATGAAACGTAAATAAAGTAAATAATCAATAACAAATGATAGCTAAATATATATATTTTTTAAATACAATAAACAGTAAATAAATAATTGTAATGATAACACGACCCACATGTCTGGTCCCTGAGCTCTGCCTCCTCTGGTTCCTGGGATCTCTGGATGTGGATCAGTGGCAGCGGCAGCTCCGCGGCTCCGCAGGGACTCTGGCTGTAGATCCGCAGGTCAGCGCCGCAGAAGTGTGGGAAGTGAATGTAAGTGTTGTCCTGCTGGTCGTAGCCCAGGATGGACTCGCGGCACTCGTGGATGGGCTGCGCGAGCACAGCGTCCTGCACCTCCTTCTGCGTCTCGTACACGTGATCACAGAGGCCCTTGAGGAGCCAGACGCGCTGCTGGAAGGGTAGCAGGTGGAAGGGTGTCTCCTCCAGAGGACTGACCGCTCCCAGAGTCCAGAAGAACTGAGGACAGAGCCCGAGGCGCTCCGCACGCGCCGCCTGAAAGCAACATCAGCATAATTAAAGCTGCACGATAAATCACACTCTATATTATGCAAAAGCTGCAATATTCATGCGTGCATCTTGTCAGTGAAGCACGGTTCTGTGATCAATAGTAAATCTCCATCCGAAGGCCAGAGAACTTATTAATAACTTATTAATTTTAAAAAGAGCTGTATGTTAAAAGCACTGTATGTTAAAAGCGCTGTATGTTAAAAGCGCTACATGTTAAAAGCGCTATATGTTAAAAGCGCTGTATGTTAAAAGCGCTATATGTTAAAAGCGCTGTATGTTAAAAGCGCTATATGTTAAAAGCGCTGTATGTTAAAAGCGCTATATGTTAAAAGCCCAGCAACAGTGTGTGAAAACCTTGTGAAGACTTACAGAAAACGTTTGATCTCTGTCATTGCCAACAAAGGGTATATAACAAAGTATTGAGATGAAATTTTGTTATTGACCAAATACTTATTTTCCACCATAATTTGCAAATAAATTCTTTAAAAATCCTACAATGTGATTTTCTGGATTTTTTTTCCTCATTTTGTCTCTCATAGTTGAGGTATACCTATGATGAAAATTACAGGCCTCTCTCATCTTTTTAAGTGGGAGAACTTGCACAATTGGTGGCTGACTAAATACTTTTTTGCCCCACTGTATATGTTAAAAGCGCTGTATGTTAAAAGCGCTAGATGTTAAAAGCGCTGTATGTTAAAAGCGCTAGATGTTAAGAGCGCTGTATGTTAAGAGCGCTGTATGTTAAAAGCGCTGTATGTTAAAAGCGCTAGATGTTAAAAGCACTAGATGTTGAAAGCGCTGTATGAATGAGTGTGACCTGACCTGGCGTGCCTCCTCGGCGCGGCCGACCGCTCTGTACCAGCTCTGGACGCGGCGCCGCAGCTCGCTCTCCCACCGTCTGTAGAGCAGCGGCGGGCGGCGGCGGACGCCAGATCTCTTCTGCGGGGGGCAGAGGAGCGCGGTCATGACCTTCGCCAGGAATACGCTGCAGCGTGGCATCAGCAGACAGCGCTCCAGCTCGTAGAAGACGATCTCGGGGAGGTGGAGCGCCGTCTGAGCCAGGCACAGGAAGTGACCGATGGCAGGAAGTTCCCACAGACTCCACAGTGAACACGGCTCGGCCAGAGACAGTAAAGCGCTCTCCCAGTCCTCCAGCTCCTTCACTGAGGCCTCCTCGGCCTCCTTACGCTCCTGCTCTCGCTGCCTGTGGGACAGAGAACACAGCTACGCTCACACCAGTACACCACATTCATAACAAATGTGAGCCTGGAGCACAAAAGCAGTGTTGAGTCGCTGGGGTATATTTGTAGCAATAGCCAACAATACATTGTATGGGTCACAATTATACATTTCTCTTTTATGCCAAAAATCATTAGGATATTAAGTAAAGATCACGTTCCATGAAGATATTTAGTAAATTTTGTACTGTAAATATATCAAAACTTAATTATTGATTAGTAATATGCATTGCTAAGGACTTCATTTGAACAACTTTAAAGATGATTTTCTCAATATTTAGATTTTTTTGCACCCTCAGATTCCAGATTTTCAAATATCGTCCTATCCTAACAAACCATACATCAATGTTAAGCTTATTTATTCAGCTTTCAGATGATGCATAAATCTCAATTTTGAAAAATTGACATTTATGACTGGTTTTGTGCTCCAGGGTCACAAATGTGGAGTTATCTGCGTGATAAAGAAAACACAGAATGCACAGAAACTTAAAGCTCTTTACTACAAACTGCCAAAATTACTAGAATTTTCCACCTTTTTGCAACCCTACTTTCAACCATTAAACTCAGAAAAACTAAAAGAGTATCAGGTTGATGAGGATAGAGTTGTTCTGACCTCTTCTCATCTTTGGTTCGCTGCAGCTCCTCCAGTCTCAGCGCCTGCACCATGATGGACTCGCTGCCGCCTCCCATGATGCTCCGGGGCACCGACCTCCGTCTGGATGACGAGCCCAGCGCCGCTTTCTCATCCTCCGTCCCAAACCGGCCTCCGGAGGTCACAGCCAGCGTGGTTTTCTCCCGCAGCGACCTGACCATCAGCACAGAAATCAACACAATCACTGATAATCAGAGCCATCAGGACAGGAAAAAAGCCCAGTTTGATGATTCCAGAATAACTAGGTACTAGTAATATACTTCAAGCTGATTGGACTGAATATTATAGGATTTGGTCAGAGGCGAAGCACAGGCACAATCAACATCTTTTTGATTGTTTTTGCTCGTTTGAGTGAGTCTAACTTTAATACAGTCAACTAGATTAATAAAACATAATGAAACGCTTTAATTTAACATTTAAATATCACCATACTTCAATGAAAGGCCATTTTCACCACATATAAAAAAATAGGTAATTTTGAGGTTTTTTCACAATTCTGACTTTTTTGATTGCTATTGTTTTTTTTTTTTTTAAATATAATTTTTTATTTTTTTTTTAAATTCCATGTACTTCCCTATTTGATCGATAACATTACAAATTGCTAACGTTTTATGCATTACACGTTTTACAGTGCTATGTTTAAATATGCAAAAACGAGGCATTATCTAATTAAAAATGCACTAATATGCATACATTCACATATGAGCATTAGATACATCCATGTTCAAAACTCTTGTTTAATTTTGTTGTGATAATAGAGTTAAAGGTTCTTCCAGAGGGGATTCTGGATTTCTCTTTTTATCACTCTATAAATCAGAAAATACTGTCAACAGACGGAAAACTAACATTTGAACCATTTCTTAAGAGTAAAATGTTGTATAAATCAGTGTGAATGAAATATGAATAAACCTTCAGAATACAGAGAGAAATAAAACCATAAAGTTCGGTGTTTTTTAAAATTATTTCATTAATATATTTTTATTTTAGTTAAAGTTTTGGTTATTCTGTTGTGTGTGTTTTTGTCATTTTTATTAGTTTTTCTTAAATTTGAAAATGTTTATTTTAGTGCAAGTTAAACCAAACGAAAATGATTATATTTATTATATATTTTATTTCAAGTATCAAAAATGTGAATTTATGGTTTTAGTAAACAATAATAACCCTGCTCATAAGAGCTCTGATAGTGTAAAGCAACCTATTAAACTCAAAATGAACATTTTCTGTAATTTAAAGCTAAAATGAGTTTAAAAACACATTAACTTTTTATTCAAAGTAACATAAGTCTCCTTTACATATCTAACCCTATATAACCTAATGCATCATATTTTATACGCAAAGCCTCTAAATGATCAGCAAGATGCCGTTAAACCCGTTTCAGATAAAATGCAATAAAATAAGTGCATTTTGCATGTCTACTTTACACTAGTCTGAAAATAAAACACATTATGAAAAGCCAAAGATGACAATAATTTGGCTTGCACTTTATGGATTCTTATTGCACTTTTACGTCGTAGGCTGCGCTGGTGTTATCTCGTTGTTATTTCTAACAATGACAACTCAATAATCATCTCAAATCTGACCATTGCATGAAAACCAATGGTTTTGCATGCAATGTCTCATCTCGAACTCCTGGCCACTGATGTTTCTTTTCACCTGGACAGCAAGGTCAGCTTTTGCTCTAGAATGATCTCCAGTTTCTGGGCCTGTTTGGAGATCCAGTGATCGACGCCGTGAAAGCGGTAACAGTTCTCTAGCATCAGTCTGAAATCTGACACGAACACCGTGATGGACTCGTACTCGCGGTGGACGAACTTATCGTCCATCTTTCTGAAGCACATCCCGGCGTGGTCCCCGGGGCCCACGGGACGCCAGAACGGGGCCGTGATGCACTTATGCTTCTCTGAGAGGAAGCTCTGAAATATTCTGAAGGCCTGCTGGATCTCGGGCGTGAGATCGTCCTCGTCGTGCAAGCGCGCCGTGAGATTCTCCAGCCCTGACTGCTCAGTCGAACCGTTGCAGGAGGTCAAGGTCAAGCGGAGGTTCGGGTTCATGTCCGGGGAGGCGTGTGATGCGGATTCACATGCGTGTGCGTCCTCACACGAGTCCGAATGAAGCTTCATTCTCCCGCCGTGATGCTGAGGGCCTCGCTCACCTGCACAGGTAACCTTACCGCCAGCATCATCTGTCAATCAACGTCAAGCTGTCATCACAAGAAGCCATTGCTGTTCCTGATGGAGCCTGTTTGAAGACAAACAAAACACTTCAGTTACACTACTAAAACAACGTCCTGGGATCATTATAAGCGTGCTAGATAACACCTGATGAATAAATAAGCATGCAAGACTTCAATGCATTTCTATAAGCAATCCCCTTAAACTCATTTAAAGTGCATTAACCCGCTCTAAATTGAGTTAAACTCTCATTCTCGTTATCGTGTTAATGTTTCGTGCGTTTTTACGACATTACCGGAGCGCTGTTCTGTGTTGTCGAGTGAAACATTAAACCGCCCGCACTAGGCCGCAGCGACAGCGGCCTCGATTTGACTCTCACACCGGGGAGGGCTCGCCTGAGCCGGGCAGCCGCCGCTCTCTCTCCCGCCGACCGCTGGAGCTCATAGTTCCAGTGCAGCGCGATTTGTCAGCAAACACAGTTGAAACCCGAAGTGCGGCTGTTTCGCAGCGTCGCGAAGGAAAATCTGGCAGATTTTGCGAAAAACGAGCTGCGGAGAAACGCGTGTTGATGGAGATTGACTTGAAAGAAACACGGCGCTGTGTGTGTGTGTGTGTGTGTGTGTGCGCGTGCGCCCGCCAGTGTGTGTGTGTGTGTGTGTGTGTGTGTGTTTGCAGAAAAAATACAACTTTACATAGCCTTCATATTTTGTAAAGCAGCATGGTAAACCCCATGTTTTATTACAACGAAGAGAAAAGCACTGAGATCTGATTCTATTCTCCTTTTGCTGAATATTCTAGAATATTCTCCTTTTATTCGACCTAAACACAGACAGACAAAATAGAAAATGTCAAGAAAATGCCCGGATCATATTTCACCCCCCAAAGAAAAATGATTGTGTAACACGTTAATAATATTATGATATGCTTAATTATCATATTTTCATGATATTTTAGCACTTCAAAATTCTTCATAAAGAAAACATTTAAATATGACGTAAAGAAGAAAATACAAAGAACATAAAATAAAAAAAGGAAAGCAAGAATAAACAAAGAATCCTCAATAAGTTAGAAATATAAGATCTAGGAGTATAAGATCTTTAAAAATATGTTATTCTTATTATTGATTTATTATTACAAAGTACGGGAACTCTCAGCAAAGTGTTTGCAATGTGGAAGCATGGTTGCAACCAGAAAAATACCATATATACATATATATAAAAGCAAAAATCACGCTTTCTAACGGGAGATCGATAACTTGTTCTTCCGGAGGGAATGCACGTGATCGGATTGATCACCTCTGTGACGTCATCGATCAGCCACGTGATGCTCTCAGTGACCACCAGATGTCTCCAGCGTTCATCAGAAAACACTGAGGATGCTCACAATACTTCACAACAGTGCACTGCACACTGCTCTTGAGAAACTAGTAGGGTTAGGGTTAGTGTGGTAGTGAACAGCTGACCATATTAACCACTTACTGTAGTACAGTAACTTCCCATATTCATTGATGTTACAGTAGTGGCTGCAGTAACCATGGTAGTTAGGGTGGAAACTGCGGTTACCATGGCAACCGCTTCCCAGCTGCTGGAGTCAGCATAGTAACCAGACCATAATACACACACACACACACACACACACACAAACACGGTATATATTTGGTTCAATTATTCCGGGGAAAAAAACACCTGTTCTTGAAATTCCCTAAATCCACTGCTGCAAACACAACCTGCCAGTTTCAGGAACATTATGTTTAAATCATGAATTTACCACTGAAACGATTCATAAAATCATAGATTGTTACTGTAAGTGTGATAATTAAATGAATGCGATTAAATGGAAACGGGTGTGTCTCAGTTTCAGATCTCGACGACAGCTCTAGACTAGACTGGATGAAAATGTTTGGATTTTTTTAAGGACTTTTAGGAGAAATATCTCAGATAAAGTTGATATTTCAAAGAAATACAGTAAAGAACGTCATTATGTTTACTGACCAAAAAAGAAAAAAAGACAATCACAATAAAACCCCAAATATTAGATCTGATCTCTATGGAAGCTTGTTTCTGGCTCAGAATAAAAAATAAAGTATTTTCTATTTTTTCCTCGCAATTCTGAGTTTACATCTCACAATTTTAACGTTTTAATCGCAATTCCGAGTTTACATCTCGCAATTTTTACTTTTTACTCCCAATTCGGAGTTTATATCTTGCAATTCTGACTTTTTACTCGCAATTCCGAGTTTACATCTCGCAATTCTGACTTTTTACTCGCAATTCCGAGTTTACATCTCGCAATTCTGACTTTTTACTCGCAATTCCGAGTTTACATCTCGCAATTCTGACTTTTTACTCGCAATTCCGAGTTTACATCTCGCAATTCTGACTTTTTACTCGCAATTCCGAGTTTACATCTCGCAATTCTGACTTTTTACTCGCAATTCCGAGTTTACATCTCGCAATTCTGACTTTTTACTCGCAATTCCGAGTTTACATCTCGCAATTCTGACTTTTTACTCGCAATTCCGAGTTTACATCTCGCAATTCTGACTTTTTACTCGCAATTCCGAGTTTACATCTCGCAATTCTGACTTTTTACTCGCAATTCCGAGTTTACATCTCGCAATTCTGACTTTTTACTCGCAATTCCGAGTTTACATCTCGCAATTCTGACTTTTTACTCGCAATTCCGAGTTTACATCTCGCAATTCTGACTTTTTACTCGCAATTCCGAGTTTACATCTCGCAATTCTGACTTTTTACTCGCAATTCCGAGTTTACATCTCGCAATTCTGACTTTTTACTCGCAATTCCGAGTTTACATCTCGCAATTCTGACTTTTTACTCGCAATTCCGAGTTTACATCTCGCAATTCTGACTTTTTACTCGCAATTCCGAGTTTACATCTCGCAATTCTGACTTTTTACTCGCAATTCCGAGTTTACATCTCGCAATTCTGACTTTTTACTCGCAATTCCGAGTTTACATCTCGCAATTCTGACTTTTTACTCGCAATTCCGAGTTTACATCTCGCAATTCTGACTTTTTACTCGCAATTCCGAGTTTACATCTCGCAATTCTGACTTTTTACTCGCAATTCCGAGTTTACATCTCGCAATTCTGACTTTTTACTCGCAATTCCGAGTTTACATCTCGCAATTCTGACTTTTTACTCGCAATTCCGAGTTTACATCTCGCAATTCTGACTTTTTACTCGCAATTCCGAGTTTACATCTCGCAATTCTGACTTTTTACTCGCAATTCCGAGTTTACATCTCGCAATTCTGACTTTTTACTCGCAATTCCGAGTTTACATCTCGCAATTCTGACTTTTTACTCGCAATTCCGAGTTTACATCTCGCAATTCTGACTTTTTACTCGCAATTCCGAGTTTACATCTCGCAATTCTGACTTTTTACTCGCAATTCCGAGTTTACATCTCGCAATTCTGACTTTTTACTCGCAATTCCGAGTTTACATCTCGCAATTCTGACTTTTTACTCGCAATTCCGAGTTTACATCTCGCAATTCTGACTTTTTACTCGCAATTCCGAGTTTACATCTCGCAATTCTGACTTTTTACTCGCAATTCCGAGTTTACATCTCGCAATTCTGACTTTTTACTCGCAATTCCGAGTTTACATCTCGCAATTCTGACTTTTTACTCGCAATTCCGAGTTTACATCTCGCAATTCTGACTTTTTACTCGCAATTCCGAGTTTACATCTCGCAATTCTGACTTTTTACTCGCAATTCCGAGTTTACATCTCGCAATTCTGACTTTTTACTCGCAATTCCGAGTTTACATCTCGCAATTCTGACTTTTTACTCGCAATTCCGAGTTTACATCTCGCAATTCTGACTTTTTACTCGCAATTCCGAGTTTACATCTCGCAATTCTGACTTTTTACTCGCAATTCCGAGTTTACATCTCGCAATTCTGACTTTTTACTCGCAATTCCGAGTTTACATCTCGCAATTCTGACTTTTTACTCGCAATTCCGAGTTTACATCTCGCAATTCTGACTTTTTACTCGCAATTCCGAGTTTACATCTCGCAATTCTGACTTTTTACTCGCAATTCCGAGTTTACATCTCGCAATTCTGACTTTTTACTCGCAATTCCGAGTTTACATCTCGCAATTCTGACTTTTTACTCGCAATTCCGAGTTTACATCTCGCAATTCTGACTTTTTACTCGCAATTCCGAGTTTACATCTCGCAATTCTGACTTTTTACTCGCAATTCCGAGTTTACATCTCGCAATTCTGACTTTTTACTCGCAATTCTGAGTTTATATCTTGCAATTCCGAGTTTACATCTCGCAATTGTAACTTTTTACTCGCAATTCCGAGTTTACATCTCGCAATTCTGACCACACATGCACACATGCGCACACACATGCACACACACACACACACGCACACGCACAAACACACTCACGCACACACACACACTCACTCACTCACTCACTCACTCACTCACACTCTCACGCACACACACACACACTCAGACACACACTTTCACACACTCACAGACACACACTTACACGCACTCACACAAACACACTTTTTTTATATGAATTTATCATTAGAAATAAAATAAACTAATCTACTGAATACATCTCAACATTTAAAGGGAAAATAAATAAACACATACACACTTTTTTGAGCCTCTATCAGGACAGTGATGATTTTAAAGGTAGTTAATTACTCTGCTGAAATGACTTTCCCAGTGTAATGGAAGTGTTTTCCTCGCTGCAGGATCTCGCTCATCCTATTGGCTCTCAGTTCAGCAGCTCTTCTCCAATGACCATCGACGTCCCACTGAGTGACATCAACCACGGCCTGCTGGGCCACACCCAGCTGACCACCATCGACCAATCAGAGCTCAGCGCGCAGCTGGGCCTCAGTCTGGTCACGGACACACACTCACGGACACACACACACACACTCACTCACTCACTCACTCACACTCTCACGCACACACACACACACACACAGACACACACACACACACACACACACACACACACTCACGGACACACACTCACGGACACACACACACACACTCACTCACTCACTCACTCACACTCTCACGCACACACACACACACACACAGACACACACACACACACACACACACACACACACTCACGGACACACACTCACGGACACACACACACACACTCACTCACTCACTCACTCACACTCTCACGCACACACACACACACTCAGACACACACACACACACAGCCGATAAATGACAGTAGTGATGAGTTTAACTCAAACCTTGCAGACGTTGTGTGAACACTCGGTGGTGACGGGCTGAAAGGACAGCTCCTGACAACAAACACACATGAACATCTGCTCCACCTTCCGCAGGAAGTTCTGCAGGACAACAGGAAGTCATGCATCAGCACAGTGCTATTTTACTGTTATTGAGATACTATTATAGTTTTTATTCATATTTTGAATGTTTTTATTTTTATACTTTGTTTCCATTGTAAAAAAACATTTAGTTTTAGAAAAATTCTTGTGCGTTTTTATAATTTTTTTTGTCTATATAATTTTTTGTTTTTTATTTCAGTTTTAGTTGATATATGTATATATATATATATATATATATATATATTTTTTTTTTTTATTATATTTATATTTTATTATACAGAATTTCATCATAGAAATATTAGAATCTGCAGCAAATTCATATTTTTGCTCAGTTTTATTCTCTGAATGAAATTGAGCTTCATATTCTCACTGTATCTGACTATATGAGCCATAAAAGCCTGATGGAGCAAATATGACACTCAACATAATGCACACACAGCGGAGGCCAAAATGATAGAACACTAGTATTCCCAGCAGCTAAAAATGGTTTTAAGTCAGTTATTTCTATCTTTTGCTGTAGTGTGTCAGTAGGAAATATCAGTTTACATTTCCAAACATTCATTTAGCCATTAATTGTAATAATGCAGTGAGATATATGTTTATGCTCCACACAGAGATCTGATCTGATCATCATCAGTCTGTCTGGAGTCACGCAATCTGAGACAGACTCAATCCAGAAGAACAAGACGCTTCAAGAAAGCTCCTGAGAAACTCTGCTCAAGTGCACCGAGAGCAAAAGCTGCTTTAAACACAAAGGAGTGCCCTCTCATCACTAGGCATCACAGGGATTCCCCTTTGCTGGTTTGAATCCTATCTCACTGGTAGGTCTTTCAGGGTGGCTTGGGGAGGGGAGGTATCCAAAGCACATCAACTGGTCACTGGGGTTCCTCAGGGATCAGTACTTGGACCCCTCCTCTTCTCCATTTACACTACATCACTGGGTCCCATCATACGGGCACATGGCTTATCCTACCATTGCTATGCTGATGACACACAGCTCTATCTCTCATTTCAACCAGATGATCCAGCGGTAGCTGCACGGATCTCAGGCTGCCTGGCAGACATCTCGGCATGGATGAAAGAATATCACCTACAGCTCAACCTGGCAAAGACTGAGCTTCTTGTCTTCCCTGCCACTCCAACTCTACAGTATGATTTCTCCATCCAGCTAGGTTCTTCTACAATTACCCCATCAACGTCGGTCAGAAATCTCGGTGTAATCTTTAATGACCAGCTGACCTTCAAAGACCAAATTGCAAAGACCGCTTGATCTTGCAGGTTTGCATTGCACAACATCATCCTCACCTGGACTTTGAGGCCGAGTTTCTTGCTGCGCTCGATCCCCTCTGTAGTCCAGGGCGCTGGCTCCAGGTCGTCACGTCGCAGCAGGTATCTCCACACCAGGAACCCACACTTCCCGATCTCAGGCCAGTACTTCACCACCTGACAACAACACGCCATGCTCTCCAACATCACCACCAATGGTGCAACAAAGTGTTCAAGAGAACTTCATCTGATGTGGCTTAACGAATACAACGTACCAATTACTGCAAACCAAATGCTACTAAAAGATTAAAATCAAAGTACATGTCATGTTTTTCCTGGTTAATGTTCGCTTTCAAAATATAAATCCATTTTTAGGGAGAAAATCAGTTTTAAACATGATGTGTGACAGCAGAAGAAAGACATCAGACACTTTCACTGATGAACTTCAGTCAAGTTAATGTCTAAGTCCCAGGGAAAGAAAAACTGAAAAAGCAGATAGTTTGAGAGCTTCTGCTAAATGCATAAATGAAAATGTAAATGAAAGCTTTGCTCTTGAATTTGATTTACTTTGCATGAACTCATTAGAAGTGTTGCTGTTGTTAACTAAAAATAAAAGCAAATCTATTAAAAATCTATATATTAAATTAAGTTTAAATAAAACAAATATTAGGGGAAAAACTAAAGCTGAAATGAATATTAGGTGAAAAAAATATTAGGTGTGTGTGTGTGTGTGTGTGAGTGCATGTGTGTGCGTGTGTGCGTATGTGTGTGAGAGTGTGTGTGTGTAAGAGTGTGTGTGTGCGTGTGTGTGTGTGTGAGTGTGTGTGTGTGTGTGTGTGTGTGTGTGTGTGTGTGTGTGTGTGTGTGTGTGTGTGTGTGTGTGTGAGAGTGTGTGTGTGTGTGTGTGTGTGTGTGTGTGTGTGTGTGTGAGTGCATGTGTGTGCGTGTGTGCGTATGTGTGTGAGTGAGTGAGTGTGGGTGTGTGTGTGCGTATGTGTGTGAGAGTGTGTGTGTGCGTGTGTGTGTGCGTGTGTGAGTGTGTGTGTGTGTGCGTGTGTGCGTATGTGTGTGAGTGCATGTGTGAGTGTGTGTGTGTGAGCGTGCGTGCGTGTGTGTGTGCGTGAGTGTGAGTGTCAGTGTGTGCGTGTGAGTGTGAGTGTGTGCGTGTGAGTGCGTGTGTGTGTGTGAGTGTGTGTGTGTGAGTGTGAGTGTGTGCGTGCGTGCGTGTGTGTGTGCGTGAGTGTGAGTGTCAGTGTGTGCGTGTGAGTGTGAGTGTGAGTGTGTGCGTGTGTGTGTGTGAGTGCGTGTGTGTGAGAGTGCGTGTGTGTGTGTGCGTGTGAGTGTGCGTGTGTGCCTGTGTGTGTACCTTATAAATGCCATCGTAGCGGTTTCCCTCCTCCGGTGCGTATTTGCTGATCCGTCGGCCCTTGGAGCTGCGAATCACTCTCACCGGTTTTCCCGCTCTCCAGTTGCGAGACTCCGCCCCATCCTTGTCATTCAGAGGGGCGTCACAGTTCAGCGCCAGAGCCCTGAGAGGTCAGAGGTCAAGAAGGGCATGTACAGTCACAGTGTACATGCAGAGAGACGTGTAAAGATGAGAGCCGCGTGGATCACCTGTTCATGTGTGTGAGCGTCTGATCGAACGAGTGCTCGCCGATACGCTTGTTTCCGGAGAGGTCACGACCTCCGCTGCCGGTGTAGGTGAACTCATCGCCCCGGTCCTGGAACACACATATGAAATAACAGACCAAAAAATGTTTATTGAGCCTTTTATTCATTTCATTCCGACTATTTTTTATTGCAATGCAATCACGATTTTATATCTCATAATTTTGAATTTTCTGTTCAGAATTGAGTTTATATGAGTTTACATCTTTCGCAATTTAGACTTTTTTTTCCTCGCAATTCTCTTTTTTTTGTTTCCACCACAGAATAAAAAAATAATAAAAAAGGTTATTGCCTTTATATCTTGCAATTCAATTCAATGAATCTATTAATTCTCACAAAACTTTATCTATTGAGAGATAAAGTTGCAATTGCCTTTTTCATTTTAATTTTTCACACACACGCACAAACATACAGACACACAAACTCGCACAAACACACACACACACGTACATGATCTGTGTGTGTGTGTGTGCGCGTGTGAGTGTGTGTGTGTGTGCGTGTGTGTGCGTGTGTCTGTGTGCGTGTGCGCGCGCACGCGTGTGTTAGTGAGTGTGTGTCTGTGTGTGTGTGCACGCATTTGTGTGTGTGTGTGTGTGTGTGCGTGCGTGTGTGCGTGTTCGCGTGTGTGTCTGTGTGTGTGAGAGAGAGAGAGAGAGTGAGTGTG